TATCTCATGAGCGATACGAAGATCCCTGGAAAATATAATGGTGGAGGCCTAGTTGGAGTACATACAATGTATAAAAGCTGTGGAAAAGCAAAAAAAGACCATCCATCACATCAGCTGTATCCTTTGTAGTGTTCAGGTCCACGCAGTAGTCCTAACATACGTGGTCAAAATAAGTATTTAAAATATAACGTAACAGTTGCTTTGAACATTGTCAATCAATATACGACCACTTCATTTGCGTTTTTTGTGTACATTAGCTCATTATAATGTCCTTAGTATTTAAAAATGTTGAACTCAAACATGTCAGTTAATATAGATCGCCCCATGAAATCAAATATTTTGTCTGTAGCCTGCCTCGGTTTATAAACTAATTACAAGAAAAAGTTCTTTCAAAACAGATCAGTTACATGTGGCATAAGCTCCATATTTTGTGAAACAGCGAAATCACTAAGTAAAAAAAAAGGCGATGATGATATAAAAGATGTGGAAAAGCTGGTCTCCTCTGCAGTCGGTCTTAAAACGATGCTGGAGTTCAAGTCTGTCAATAATCTCTTTCAATCCCACTTGGCACTTATTTTGCTTCATTTTAGGCGACCCGTTTTTAAACTTCTCTGAAGCAAAATTTATTTATAAATTTCCACATAAAAAGAAAACACTTGCAGTGGCCTTCAACTTGATATACAGATATGACGATCCTTTTTAAAGAACAATTATTATTTCCACAAAGATTGTCTCATTCGTTTCATATTTGGATGTTTTAGTGACCATAGACAAGAAGATCAATTAACTATATGACCAACGAGATTGCTTCAGCTTTTCTATCATAACGTTTACTAATTGAATTAGTTATAGTTCATCTGAGTATATTGTTAATGTTTCCTAAAGATCGGGATTTCCAAAACATTGCTTAAAACATTTCGTAAATTCTATAGCATTTTCAGTAAATATAATTGATCATTGAGTCGCAATTTGGTTGACTTGTTTCATACCAATTGTTAGGCCTCTGTTTTGTATTAAATGATTACTGGGTATGGGAGCCCTATGTTTGATCAATACGTAGAAGTCTCGTCGGGTGTGAGCAAAAGAGGATGCTCAATCCTCCAAGGCACCTGATCGCACCACTGGGATTTTATCTTCTTGCTTGGCATATTATTTAGTTGATCATTGACGTCTTAAGACAGTAAAACATCCAAACTTGTAAAAGATGTAAGCTGATGTCCTTTGTCAAATGATATAGTGTAGTTGTTAGTTGGCCATTATTTTCTGAAGAGAGTACAATCACAATATGAGTAATCTGACTTATAGTCACGTTCTAATTAAAATTAGACTTACTAAGTAATGTTTATTATTTTCCTTGACAGAGGAGAAGACTCCTTTAAGGAGGGATAATTTTTTACAAACGTATGTTTTAATTTCATACATTAAAACACTCACACACACCCTCACCCTCACACACACACACACCCTCACCCTCACAACTCGCACCCTCTCTCACAAATACACAAGTCCGAGAAAAGGAAAACTGAAAATTTGATGAGTATTGAATATTTTGTGGATAAAAATTTCATTCAACAAATCAAATCAGGAGTTGAGCAAACACGGACCTCTAAAACATAAGCAGTGAGATCAGGTGCCATGGAGTAGGGAACATCCTCTGCCTACCGGTCACAGTCGTGTAATTCTTGTCATGTTCAGTAAATAATGTGAAAATCCATCGACAATTCAGAGTGGATATAATATTAACGGCCTATCAGTTATTATAAAAAAAACGTCAGTCAGCATAAGTGTAGATTGTATATACTGAAAAGATCAGTGTATCGACCATAGAACTTACAAAATGATAACACTAAACGAGGCTGCTGAAATTCTTGTTACATCAACTAGTTTGTAAATATCTTTCCTTGTTTATGGAATAATTTAGACGTAGAACATGCTCTTGTATACCGAACCAACTGATAAAAAAGGAAGGGTGATGTACAATGAAATATTATTATAAGCTTATTTTCATGACAATGTTGACTCTTTAAATAACAAAATGACATTTGGGGGAAAATTGAAAAGATTTTTTTTTATGTTTATTTGGGGATAATTACATTAATGTAAATGAAAAAAGTAACTGAGCCCTATATGCTTGAATTCCCACGCGCTCAAAGATATATCAAAACCTACAAAATCTATCAGGATTAGTATGGTATTCACGTTTCTCGTTTTCAAAACTATATCTCTTCATACCATAGAATCATTTCGGATTGCTAATAGACAATGTGTACTTTGTTACGCCACATTCTAAGGTAAAATAAAGTATCAGCGTAAAAGAACTATTATTAACTCAGAACTATCTGTGGAAACGATACAAATCCAGAGCAAAGCAAACACGAATCCATTAAAAGACCAGAGGTAAGGCGAGGCGCCATTAATCTTTTAATACGTTTAAGGCAGCAAAATACTATATTTTTTTAAACTAAATTTTTATTTTTACAAAGGGCGTTTAAGGCAGCAAAATGCTATATTTTTTAAAATAAATCTTTTATTTTTACACAGGGAAAAAGTGTTTCTGTAATTAATAAATATATTAAATGTCATCCTAACAGAGACTCAAAATGCGAAGCTTTCTTTAAATATATGATGAATATCCATGTTTGACATGTTTTATATTCTCACATTTGACTTCAAGGTCTCTGACACTGACTGACAAAATGAAGGAGACAAAGGAAACTAAAGGTAAGAATTATGATACAAAGAAATAGCCTCTTTATATAAACTTTCAGATCTAAAAATGTGTCTACAAATGTCCCACTTCAATTAAATGAAAGCTATAGAGAACAATAGCTATAGACCGTAAGTCTCTTAAGCGTTCAATGGTTATCTCCTCTTGACGGTGTGTTCTATGATGTTTTTCATAACTAATAATTGTAATAAAAATTTAATGATCTATATTTCATGTTTACAATCTCTTTCCTTCATTTTTTTTTCAATAATGAGGAGTGTTAATCTCTTTCTCCACGAACGCTAATTTTCCATGAATAAAAGTTTAAAGAACTTTATTCGGTAATAACCAATATTTGTCCCCCAAATCAAACTTTGATGGAGATATATTTAATTAAGTTCTTAAACAGGGGAGTATATGCTGACTTCAAAGCACTGAATATTTTCATAAGTACTGACGTCATATGTATGTAATGACGTCACAAACATGACGTAAATTTCAGTTTTTTATGAATTTTACAGAAAAATGTACATATTTCGTCGATATTTTGAGTAAAAGTCACCGAGCGCATGTGTGTTCAGGATCAATATTTTGATATAATGTGTAGAATGATGATATCAATGAAATATGTCAATACTGTTCCTGAACAAACTTGCGCTCTATAAATTTCAAAGCTACAGTTGTTGAAATTTTGTCCATTTTGCCCTCTTTCTGAAAAAAGATATAAAATCGGACTAGTTTGTGACGTCATAAAAACAAAAATTGTGAATACACTGCTTTGACACTATAATATTTTCTGTTAATTTATATTTCTCATACAATTTATTGAATTCAGCACATTTCAGGAAGTTTTCAAAATTTGACTTTTGTGGGGGCAAATATATGCAATATACCGCATATAGTTCTTTGCAAAGGAATATTAAAACGTGGTATTGTATAAGATCAAAATGATAATAATTTTTGCCTATTAAATAATATTCAAATTAAGCTTGTCATACTGTCAAACATGGACTGTGGTGAAATAACCCCAATAATTTTCTTATAATTTCTGTAATTGTTTTAGTTTTATCTTGTAATGTTCATGACTCCAGTTAACCACACGTTCGACATTTTGAAATAAATTAAAGACACGATAAGGAATAATCACAATAATTATTTTCATGCATTGTTAATAAGATGGGCATGCGAGACATACGTGTATCTCTCCATAAAAGATAATTAATACTAATAAGATGTACGTATTATTAATTATTAAGGTTCAATGAATTGGAAATAAATAATTTGACATGTCTGAAATCAATTTCATTTACATAGGCGGAAATTATTTGGCTTATTAATTAGATATTTTGGTAAATTACTGTCAAAAACACTTTCTTTGTCTTTGTACTTCAAATTTTCATGGAAAAAAATCTTCAAATTCTTCATGGACAGTGCTTAAAATAATTTGTTGAATAGTAGTAATTCATGTCGAGATCTCAAAACTAAATATGATTCAGGAGAAATAAATTTATTAAGAATGTTTTAATTAAAAATTAAAATGGTAGGTAAGTGTAGCTTATAACAAATGTCGATGTTTTAAGTGTTATTTGTCTTACTTCTGAATTTGAAAGTGATGAAGTCGTACAAGCTCGAGAGAGTGAAAATAATGCGAATCGAAAATAAGGGTGAAAGATATCTACTTAAATCCTCACTAGCTCTAAACAAAATGACAAATTAAAATGTTTAACAGGCTTCTACCTTTCAGTGAGCAATAAATATATCAAGGAGACGCCTACCGTTACGCAGAAGGATAAACACAGAATTTTCACTTTAAAAAATGAACAACGAGAACATTCCCTTTTCATTTCGAAGCCACAAGGTGGGCCACCAAAGACACCAGTCGAACAATCTGATCCCTGAGCAACCCCATAGAATAGCGAAAATCCGTACTAGTAGTCCGGTATCTACTGTAGATCAAATGATACTTAGAATTAATAAATTAATATAATTATTTCTACTAAAAGAATTGTTGAGCTTATGGTAAGAAAACAAATTGGATAAACTACTTCATGCTTTGTAACGGATATCAATATGTTTAAACATAAATGTGCCAGTCCTGGTATCTTCCTAAACTATAAAAAGTAAGCAAAGCAAACCCTGAAAAATACTCAACACTGGTTATCAGTTTACAATGGTAAACAGTATCATCACTGAGCGAAAATGGTTTTCATTAAAAAAAAACCTTTACCGTTTAACAAACTTTATCCAAAGTTTTTAAGAGTACCAAGAGTAGAAACTGATTTTAAGCTCTAAACCAGTTTATAATATATATTAAAAAAAATAAATAACAAGAAAAAACAAAATCACAAATTAAGTCAGTATTTGTTTTTTAAGGAGCAGTGACACAGCATCCTTTGTGACAAGTCTCAGGTTCCCAACAGTCTGCTGTGGTGGTACAGTGATAGTATGGGTCACAGTTACGGTAATCAGCCAGGGGCGGGGCAGTGGTATAATACAGACTGGGAGGGGTGGTGGTATAATAGAAATTCTGGGGAGGGGCCTGGCCATGACTTCCTCCATGACCCGTATTATGTGGAGGTCGGTTCTGTGGAGGATGACCTTGACCTATATGATGCTGTTGCCCATTGCCCATGTGATGTTGTTGCCCATTGCCCATGTTGTGTTGAGCACCGTGTCCCATGTTTTGTTGCCTGCTTTGACCCGTGTGAGCAGGATTCATGTATGGCGGTTGGGTTGTGGCCACGGGATCCATGTATGGATACGGGGTGGTCGTTAAGGGGCTCTTTTCACAACATCCGGTTTCCTTACTGCAGTGCTCGTCCTCATAACACTGATATTCCCCGTTAGAGAAGCAGTAATATTCTGGACCCGGACAGGTCGCATTTACACAACATCCCTTCGAACACACCTCCTTTTCATAACAGGGATTCTGTTCACTACATTCATAATACGCGTCATAACAGTGGCTGCCAGGAAAATGCTGACCTAAACGAAATATTCATTTATTTGAGCTAGAAATTATTCCACATTGAATTCTTATCTTTTTCTTTAGCTATTTTCTTGTCTGAAATAAGACCATATGGCGAAATCACTTCGATGAGTGTAAAAAAATTTACAAAGTCCTGCAAAATCAATTATGCTTGGATATAATCACAACGAATAAAACTAAATTAAAATAAGAAAAGAATAAGTTTAACAATAAAACTGCTTACCATAAGCAAGAGAAAGAAATAAAAGTCCGCAGAGATATCTAATAATCATATTGTCTCACTCCAGGAGAAAGAGCAATATATTGGAGTTTTAAATCTTACTAAAATAAAATACTTTATACCACAGGTTTTTATATGACTTTAATTTATGATAATCATGCCTTGACCTTAAATAAATTTCATGCCTTAAAAGTCATAATACTTTCATAATTTCCTTATTGTTATGCATGAAATCAAAATACCTATCAATTAACGCACTCGCTGGTATCAAGCCGAACAACGGCAGATAAAATAAAATTTGCCAAAATCAGGCATCGCTACGTGTCAGTTACAATCCCAAAATTAATTACAGTTTTGAACTGATAAATATTTTACACGTTTCAGAAGATAATGTGAATATTCGAATATTCGGAATTCTTTAGTAATATAAAAATTTGTTATAATCAATTCACACTGATTTTCTACAAATGTCTACTGCTAAATATTTGAATCATCAACGCGAAGCTAGCGCTATGAAAAAAGATAAATATATGGTAGAAACACCTACAAATAAAAAAGCAGAAGTAAACTAAAAATAGGTGAACATTTTCTTCACCGATATGTATAATACAGAACTTTTCTTTTTTTCTCTCGAACTTTTCTAAATGAATGTGGTCGACCGTGTAACGCAGTGGTAAGAATGTTAGCTCTCGATAGAGTCGTGGAGTACTTAATCCTTGCGTCGCGGGTTCGAATCCCACCGAGGTAAAAAGACACTGACCTTTAAGATGAAACTGTATCAACCGATTGCCTGATTTACTTTAAGAGATGGCACAAAAGGATCCATCTGTCCTCAAAGGCCTTAGACAATGATCCCTATATATGTTGTTATTTTTTATTGGTTTGTTTGTTTGTTTGTTTTTTTTTAACGTTTTTTTCGGAATTTTTTCTCAATTACTTGTAGAAACACCACCACTCACCAGTGAAGGGCTGTGAATTTCGCCATTTAGTATAAATATATTTTATAAGCCTTCACACTTTTTTCATCATCTTTGCTATTTATTTGTTTCTGTGCGTAACTTTTCTGTCTTTGTAAATGTTTTCAGTACCTCAGTGTAAGCTAGTTTTGATATTTAATTGAATAAAGGGTATTATTACATGTACTCTGCTCTTAAGTGTGTAAGCAGTAAATTAAAGGATCTTTTCCCGTCTGTAATTACTTCGAAACGGTACATCAGTTTATACGGTCTCTCAAATCCGAAAAATCTGTCTCCACATCCTTTCTTGGGATTCCAACCCGCAAAATAATGATGTTTTTACTCTGTGACTCAAGGGGAGAGCAAACCTTCTAACCACTTCGCCATGTGGGCGACTATGAGTCTATGACGCATTTATATTTGTATCGGGTAAAGTATATATACTGGGAAAAGTGGCTTACATGATATTCATGTCATTATCTTTTTATTTGAAAATTATATGAAAATCATATGAAATTATAATAAAAATATATTTTTATGCTAATATCATGTGAATATAAGTTTGTATGATATTCACAGAGATCTTTTTTTGAACTTTCATGTGATGTTTTCTTTGCTTGAAATTAATGCGATAGACTCTTCATGTAAATTTCATGTGAAATTTATGTCAAAATTACATGAAGTTTTCATATAATTTTACACCATGTCAACATTTAACGTTTTTTGAAAAAATGTTCATGAAACAAAAGAATTACACTTATATTTTGTAATAGACCACTTTTGCAACGTATGTGATATACTTGATCAATTATGTGTGTTATTACTTTATGTGTATGTTATTTTTTTTCTGTGTGGAAATTGATGTAATTTGTATCGCGATCGATGTCAAATGCTGTCTTAATTTACTGAACATGCTTTTTGGGAAGGAATGCTCTGCTTTGCGGTGCCCTTACTTTGATGTGTTTCATTAAAAAGATTTATTGAAGAAAACCTAGAAACGGACAACGAAGAAAAGACTCTGAATAGGTCTATCATGCAGTAACTCTTTATCATTCCCACCCAGATGTATCTATTTCTATAACTCATAAACTTAAGTGTCAATGATATTTGAAAAAAAGAGCATTGTAAATACAATATAAGCACTGTACAAGGAAGTCTGTAGTAAAAAATTTTGTTCTTTTAAATATATATATATTTATGTTCATTTTCAGGAAAATCAGAATATTAATTACATTAATTACATTTAATTATATTAAGTACCTGTCTGCTTTTCGATGTTAATTTGATACCATATCTGATAATCTCTCTGTTAACCTCCAGGTATTTAACTTACATGATATTTTCATAGGAATTGTTCATTTAACATGTATCTAATATCTTTTCTCATGTTTTTACGAAAATAAATAAAACATATAAATTAAATTAATAAAATAATAAAATACAATTATTTAGTTTTAAATAGCTTTAAATTTTTTTTTCGTTTGTAGTCTATAAATATATGCCCCCCCCCCCCCCCCCCCGTGAAACACAAAAAGCTTTGGCATAAATTTGTAAAATAACAGTCCATATTATCTGTAAAAAGGAATTTTTGTTTCACGGGGGGGGGGGGGGGGGGGACATGTTTAAAAAATATTTTAAGTTTTCCGATGATTTCTATAGTAGAAAACACAAGTTTTGCCAAAATTATAGCGTTATCTCTCTTTGGTATCCCAAATAAGTAAGGTTTTATGAAAATTCATATAAATATGTATAAAAATTTTGAGAATTATTCCAAGATGTTAACTTTTGAGAATTGACTTATAGATAGGCGGAAGAATAATACTATCATTCGTAGTTCTTTACGACCTTTAATGTTGACCTTTTGACCCCAAATTCAAAAGGGGTCTTCCTAAGGCCACAGGGATTCTGTTATGTTAAATTTCATTGCAAAAGCTCAAAGGGTTGTCGAGATATCGTGTGGAAACGAAAGCGTTACAGAAAGACGGATGGACGGACAGCTAGACGGACGGACGGACAGGTAGACCCAAATTAATACCCCCCACTTTTCAAGCGGGGGACAAAAAGTATCAAATCAGGTTCAAATGATAAGTTATCATACTTAAGATATGTAGGAATATTGACTAAGCCATGCAGAATTTTTTTTCAAAGTGCGTTAATATGGTCCATATTTACGCACTTTGAAAAAAATTTTTTTTTTCAAAGTGCGTTAACCTGGTCCCAAAAATTAACGCACTTTGAAAAAATTTTTCAAAGTGCGTAATTTTTTCAAAGTGCGTTGCCACATAGCTGACATTCTTAAAATACATCATATGCTATCAGTCTTAGTAACACGTGAATATCATAGTTTGTATTTATCAAAATAAAGACATTGTGGAGAAGTTGTAATCATTATAATTTGTCACAGACAACGTAAAGAAAAATCTTTTCCTTCACATATATATTCCCTGTCATATTTTTTATTAGGATTTACTCTAAGTTAAATGCTTATTTATTTTTCACGATCCTGGCAGTTGGTCCCAACTCTGATGTTTCAGAGGTCCGCGTTTGCTCTGTTCCCAATTTGTATTGTTTCAATGACCTTTGGGCTTGATTACTTTGTGTTATCTCCTTATTTTAGTGATTTGAAAAAAAATTCAAGTGGCTTCTTTTCTTCTCTATTTTTTAATAAACTCCTTGCTGCCATTATTATAAAACGTTTCCTCTTATACTTTTTTGGACAAGAGTTTATAATGGAGGACTATTTTCTACATAATGTTGCTGATAATACACCAGATCGCTGTCATGCACATTGATCATGTAATACCCAACACCCACATGGACATGATGTATCAATTTCTTCACTTCCACCGCATAACTTTTTTTTTCTGAAATCTCCAGTTCGTCATTCTTGTGGTAACCGATAATAATTACCTGTAAGTAAATCGCAGTTGTCATTCTTTATATTTGTTATATATATATATATATATATATATATATATATATATATATATATATATATATATATATATATATATATATATATATATATATATATATATATATTTTTATTAATAATTCATGTGAGAATTCCTATGAAAAATCATTTTACGTTTTATTTAAGCACATATTGTGAACTTTGTCCTCCAAGTTTCCGACTGCCGGCTTTTATAGAAATTATTGCCTTCTTAAATTTAAAGTATGAAATTTTATAATTTATATTTTACATTTAGTAGTAGTTTTTTTTATTTAAGGAATGAATCTTATTTCAACTTTTGTTATACGATATAACATAACTTGGGGCAGTTTACACTTTATAAACCACAAAGCGGTTTATAAACAAGTATTGAAATAAGCTTAATTCCTCATAATTTAATTTCAATATAGACAATGAGACAATTTTTCCATGTTTTCCTTCGGAAAAAGGCTTCAAATATCGCATTTTTAAAAGATAACGTTAAGCGGAGTAATACGTTTTTGACGTAACTCATTATGACGTAGGCAAGTTATGTTATACAAAATGGATAAAACCGTTTTAAAACCAAACAAATGACGTGTTACAACTAAAATTAAGTTATTAAACAATAGAGAAAGAGCTTCTTGAAGAACACCATTATATATATCATAACTTATACAACTTAATATATCATAGATGGATATTACTTGGTTACTATATCATCTTCGTATAAGATAATTGATCCTGGAGAATATTTTAATTTATAAATAAATCACATTTACAGATATAAACGAAAGGAACAATTTTGAGGAAAACAAGTTTCTTGCATTAGTAAAATTATTACAGGTTTTAGTCATACACACATTACTGTAACATGGTACTTTAATTAAACAATTCAATGTTTTCTTTGGTTGTAAGTATGGGAATTAATGCCGCAGATGTTTCGGAAAAAATACACGACCCGCTTATGCTTTATATTTTAATCTATACTAACATTTGTATAAAAATTACATTCAAATAAATTCAAATTTGTTAAATATTGTATTATAGACGTATATTCCAAAAGGCTCATATACCTCCCGATTACGTTAGGCTTCTGTACATCATGTGTCTCAATAAACATAACATGCTTTGTAAGACTGAGGATTATTGATTAACTTTAGTCTTTGTGTCTAATCATCATCATAGTCTTTTTGAGTGCTTCGTGTCTCTTTTTCCAGGCATGCCATACCGGGTGTTTAGCATTAGTCACATTATAATTGACGTACTCTCCATTAAGATTTGAGTTGTGACAGGCGTTGTACCACCAGGCTCCGTGGTATGTTACAGCACAGTTTCCGCCACTTCTGTCGTTGTCCTCGTCTTTGGTGCTGAATTTCATTCCATTTTGCCAAGCCAAACTGTCACCTGGAATAGGATTTTAATAATATTGAACTTAATTGATGCATTTTTAAAAAAAAAAAAATATTAACGTACTTCAATTATTAAAACTATTGAATATCGTCCTGTGTATTAATTGTACAACATTTAGATAACTTGAATCTTAAAATATAACTTTCGTGAAAAATCATATACCGGTATGTTGATATTTTACACTCGAAATTCAGGCAAATCGACATATGAACTCGTATTTTTTTCTATTATTAAAGGTGAATTTGAACTTAAAGACGCTCAGTAGTCGTTCACATTTGCTTCATTTCGGATAAACTGATTATATAAGATGAAGGTCAACTAACAAACAATTTTTATGACAAACAAAATGACCAGCTTCTCTGTTTTGAACTTATTAATGCAATAGTCCAACATCACTTGCATAACAATGTCTATAATTATCTACCAACTGACTCAAAACGCAAGCGCATTCTCTAAATTAGGAACCAAGGCCAGCTAGTGAAAAAATACTTATTGTTAGGAGAATTTCAACAACCCTCTTAAAGTTTTTTCTTAAATCAAATCATACGGTTGTTATAATGACTTTATTTTTTAAATACAACCAATGGATGGGTCGTATATTTGTTATGTATTTCATAACATAAGGTCAAAGTTCTTGCACAAAATTTTCCGCAGGACTCCTCTGTGAACTGTCACCCACGTGGCGCAGTGGTTAGAGTGTCTGCTCTAGAGTCGCCAAGTAAGGAGTTGATCTTTTAGTCGCGGCTTGGAATCCCACTGGACGTGGAGACCGATCCTTTGGATTAGATCGTATAAACTGATGCCCCGTGTTCCAGTGTACGAAAAAGATCCATCACTGTTCAATGGCTGAGTGCTGAGTGTTGTACAAAATTTGTAGCCCTCCACCGGCAAGTGGTGGCATCTCCATACGAGTGAAAAATTCTCCCAAGGGACGTAACACAACATACAATTAATTTTTTTTTTTCGATTTATTCCTCATTGTTCGTTACCTTTTTCACATATATTACTGATGCTTGCATATTTTTTCATATTCAAAACCTGTGACATTACAACAATAACTTTGATCCTATTTCAAAATTATGCATGTTATAAATCGAAATGCTATTAATCATTTTATTAATCAAAGTAAAGTTTTAACATCAAGTAACAGCATAACATGTAAACTTATATCAAACACACCTGCGGTTCCTGAATACCCCGACACGGTGAGTACGTATTTACTGTCTTCATTCCCGACATAAAATATGTAGTATTGAGCGTATGCTTCGTCACCATTAAAATCTTGTAGCTCAACCCGGAGTTCCTGCTCCTTGTTTTTTGTAAGCTCGTAGATTACATCATTTCCTTTTATACAGAAAGAAAAAAATAGATGTCTAGAAAGGTTAAAATGCCTTCTATTTTGGTTTCGACAATGAAAGCATCTCATAAAAACTACAAACAGTACAATATCCTAGAATGAAACAAAAAAGAAATTTTCCAACTACTTGTTTTTATAGCAAATCAGTAGCATGGATTTGATGATCAACTCGGAGTAAAAATTTGTTGATATCCAGTACTCACAACACAGGGATTTTATAAACTTTCAAACTAGGTAAGATTATTCTTTTACTTTTTTCTTAAGATTTGTATTTAGCGTTCGTTATATTGATAATGAAATACTATCTTGTTCTTGATTCAAGTTCGGTTTATTCATGGCCTCACAGAACTATTGAGGGTTCACTATTTGGGATCAAAAGTATAAATGAAAAAAAAATACGGAAATATTTTAAAAACTTTCTTAAGACAAAACCAAGGTGACCCAGGTGAGATAGAGACTGAAAGATCTCTCGTTTAATTTTAGTAAAGCTTTCTGTTGATATCAAATATTTTCAACATAGATATTTCTTTATCATTTCTTTCTACTTCTTGTAAGACTAGTGCATAATTAATTAATTGTCTCGAATGAATAGCAAATTGATGCATCCTATGTAAAACCTTATGAAATTGCGTCTTTTATACCAAGAAAATGTAAAATAATAATAATAATAATAATAATAATAATAATAATAATAATAAAGTAAAAGTCAAAGAATGCCGATAATTTTTCTTTATAAAAGTGGCAGTAAATTTATTTTCTCAATAAGAAATATGTTAATCTTACCAATCCAGTAGTTTTTAGATGGATCCCCAAAGCCTTGTTTATATGCTTTCCAACTCCGGTAAAAGTATGTCGATCCGTCTTGTCTTCTTTGTATTACCTGTAAGACAAGTGCTCAAAGAGACAAAAGTTTTGTATTGAACGGAAATTCCTTGAGACTTTATTATTTTCTGTGTTTTATAACAAGTTTTACTCACCGTCCACCCTCCTCCATCTGTACTCATGTCACAGTAAACAAGCTTTTCTTCGAAGTCAATGAATACTGTGTATAATCCATCTCTTCCAAACGTACTCGGGAATTTCCGTAAAATTTCCCAGCAATTCTTTGAAAGCACTAAAAATACATGTAGATGAATGGACTTTGAACAATGAGGGATATGGAGATAAAATTTTTCTCTTTGGTTGTAAGTTTTGGAATTAATGTTGCAGCTATTGCAGAAAAAAATGAATAACCTTTTTAAGTGGATTAGGTAATTTTTTTTTATTGCAATACATCAAGCAACGTTAATTTCCATATAAACAAACAAAGACTTTTTTTGTTTTATGTATATCCGTACAAATAATTATTCACAATATGATTAAGTAGATTAAATATTTTGTAATTTGAGTGCACACACTTGTACGATTCATTGATTGAAGAGCCCTTGCTCATCCAATCTGTACAGGCAATATGTTTACATGTAGTATTATCTACTGACTGATGAACGACAATAGTTTTTTTTTCAGATCTTGAGGAGAAAACATTCAGTGGATGTTAATTGGCTTTATTAAATTAAGCTCATTTGTTGTAAAAGATTTTGAGAGCGTACAGTATTTTATCAATATAGCCTTTTCATAGAAACGAATCGGAATTCGTCATTGTTGGAGAAGTTGTCATCCAAACATATTGTAGAAAATTAAAATTGGTGGCAAAAATTAAATGAAATTTTCCACAGGCTGGATAGTACAAACTATACCCCGAGTATATGGCCTTTAGTTTGACGATTTTCAAACTATTACAACGATAAATAGTATTTTTACTCTTTTACTTCTAATATGAATAAGAAATGTTTACAATTGCTTTCATTGCATTATATATTAATCTGCATAGATTCATGGGATCAACCCAAACATCTGTATAATGAGAGAAATAAAACATAAAATATCTGCAATGTAAGTTTATCAAAAATTTCGGATAAAAATTTTGCTTTTTTTCTATTATTGCCTTAGTGCTACGACTTGTTCTATTAATTTGGATTAATCATCCTTAAAAAATTATGTTTGTTTGTTTAATAGCTTACATTTTTCTACACTCGATCACATGTACATGTATATCCACCGTCCCTTGAAAAAGCGATAAATATTCAAGAAATAATCAGTCCGCATTTTGGCTTTGAATACTAGTATAAATCTAAGCTGAAATATAAAGAAATGCAATACCTTTTGACGATACCAATTTCAATTCATTTACATCCTCAGTATCCTCCTGTGTTTCATTGTAAGAAACCACAATACTTTTTAACATGTCCTCTGTTTTTCTCACCCTCCCGACAAGATCCACACTGCCCTGTATTGTCATGTTCATTTCATTCATTTTCTCTCTGAGAACCTGAATTTCTTTTGTTAATGCACGGTCATTGTTTTTTAGGACCACGCTTTCATTTCTTTCACCATCTTCAAGCTCTTTCATTTTTTGGAGATTGCTTTCAAAAGTGATAATTTGTGATTCATTCAAGGTTTTTATATTTTCCAAAGTCATATTTTTATTGTCATTTACTGACCCGTAAATTGCTTTTAATTTCTCTTGAAGTTTGACATTTTCCTCCTTCATTACTTGGTATTGTTTCTCCAAATTCTCTACGTCGTCTGTCACTTCGCTAAGTTTCGACTTTATGACTTGACTATCACTTTTTCTGTCTGTAGCATCCATCACTAAATTTTGTATTTTTTGTACCATAGAAAAGCGCACCAAGCTCTCCTGATTTAGGATGTTCCGTAATACATTTGAATCTTTGTCCGTTATGGTTTTAGGCAACAAACCATTTTTAGTAGAATTTTCGTCTTCAGTTAAAGGCATTAGGGCAAATATTCTGTTAAAGTGCAAAGAGAGAATAAAGCATAGTACTTGTAGAATCCCCATCTTTGCAGTGGCAAATGATGAATAAAGAAACTGTTTAAATACACTGTAGAACTAGGCGTTGACGATCTAAGTAAGAACCACAAGTACTTAGAATATTTTGTTTTTTCCGCCGAAAAGATGGTCGATGCTTGATATACATTTACCCTAACAATGGACATTTTGTCTCAACTGAAGAGTATATTCCGACTCTACTTGCTTGTACGTAAAAGTAATTTAGTTACTGACCTCATTAGTCTCTAATGCATTTTATCTTCAATAAAAAGTCTTGATTCTTAATTCTTAAAAAAAATATTGATTCCCAGAAATAAAAATTATAGACCTTAATTTTGGCAATTGAGAAAACTGTTAAGAAGGGATGGGCCTTCTTAATCTATTTTCTTATAATTATATATTATGAATATTATTTAGCGATTGAGGGGAATATGGAAATTATCTGTCCTCCTAATATTTCCCGATTACGATACGGAGAAAACTGCGGGTTTTGCCAGTCGACAGAGGGATACTCACTCCTCTAGGGCACCTGATCCTAACTCTGATGTCTTAGAGGTCGTGTTTCTGCTGCTCTAATTTTTTATTGTTTAATGGACTTTTGAGCTTTTGAGCTTGGATACTGTTCGTTATCTCCATCAATTACATTTGCAAGTGGTACTTCAACTTATACCAATGGCGTCCTTTCTTTAAAGAAAATATTTAAAATCATTGTTCAGTTTTAAACTACTTTAATATTCTTAAACATTAAAATGAATTTAAAAAACTATACTGCAGTATATCAGAAGAAGTTTAAATCACACAAAGATAATTAAACTCCAAGGAAAATTTTATTAAAAATTCCAAGGAACTTGAAATCACAACATTTTATCAAAGTCAATAAAATCAAAACTTTAAGGCTTTTCAACACTTTGTACAATGATCCCCCACGATAACTTAAAGTCGAGATGTTTTTGACATCAAAGACAGTTGCTTTTTCAATTAAAAACTCGTTAATACACTTAGCCTGTCAATAGTTATATGCACAATTATTATGTTAGAATATAATAAGCTTGTTCACAAAAGAATGTAATGTAAAGAAATAATAAACAGTATTCCAGCTCAAAATTCCATAAAACGATACAAAATAGGAACAAAGCAATCACGGACCTCCAAAACATCAGGTGGGATCAGGTGCCACGGAGGAGTGAGCATCCCCTGCCGACCGGTCACACCCGCCGTGTGTTCCTTGTCATGTTCGGGAAATAACGAATAAATCCGTTGTCAATTCAGTGTGTTAATTTTTGACTAACAATAACCGTAGATCACTAAATATTCGCAGTAGTATATTTTCGCGAGATTGCAATCAACTCTTTATAAGCGAGACAAAATTTTTGCGATGTATGGTTTTTGCTCTAAATAATCTAAGGAATGCTAGTATACGAAGGAGTAAACTGTCTTGTATTATTTCCCTAAATTAAGTCGTCGTGAATGAAACATACCCTAAAATCTTGAAAATACGACAGATTTAATAATAAGCCGGTTTTGAAAATAAACCACCTATTTCTTGCATTAAAAATTACTCGAAAATAAGCCACTTTTGAAAATAAGCCGGTCATGACAATGCCATTTAGGAAAGATGTTAAACGTTTGACGATTGCCTCGTCTTAAAAATTCGACGATTGAAAACTCCGACGATTTTTTTACTGTGCAAAATAAAACTGAGTTATCTTTCTTTAATTCATTTAACCTTTACCAATATTTCTGCATACGACATACGAAGTCTGTAGCTACTTATGAACTTATGTAAAATTACTAATAAAAGGTAGTTTTTAAAGTTATTTTTTTTTTACCAGTAAGCATGTTGCGCTGGCTTAAAAAATCATTGCGGAACCAGAAAACATGGTGATTTTTTCATGAAATTGTCAGAAACAATAATTATCTCATCCAGACCTGTACAAACTAACGATGTGTTTAAAATTGTTATAATTAAATAAGTAAACGGATAAAAGGAAGATTTTGTTTGTAACACTGCCCGAGGCAAGAAACCTGCTGATCGGCAGGGCTTGGTAGTAATTACATTTCAATGTACCGTAACTGAGTTGTTTAAATATGTGTTTGACTAATTTATCAAGTGATTCAACTGCAAGCGGATATCTAATACATGTATATTATTTTTACTTTTTTAAAACAAGTTTATATTTCACGTAAATTTATATGCTGTATACAATGAAATTATCTTTTCGGAATCGACATTCTCAAAATATAAAGTAGACGATTACACCATAGACCTAAAAAAAAAAAAAACGTACACCGGGGAACGCCAATGAATAAAAAAAAATGACGAGAGAAAACTTTGACGAGCTAAAGTCATGCGTTAATGTTCCCTCGTTGTCAAACTTTCCACTTTTACAGTATTTTTTCTACACGCAATATACGGAACAAAGTATTATTATTATTATTTTATCATATTATATTCATGATGTTTTAATTTTAGATCGAACAAGTAGTTCCCATTCTTATGATTCTATCGATTACATTTTATTCAATGATTGTATGGAAAATAAACCTTGGTTGTGCTCTCTTCTCTTACCAGTTTTTTGCATTGATAATAAGCCGGAATTTGAAAATAAGCCGGTTTTGAAAATAAGCCCCCACTTCCTTACCAAAACTTAAAATAAGCCGCGGCTTATTTTCAAGATTTTAGGGTATGGCGACAATGAACAGTATTCAAAATCAAAGGTCCATAAATCAATACAAAATAGGAACAGAGCAAACGCGGACCTCCGAAACATCAGAGCTGGCTAAGGTGCCATGGATGAGTGAGCATCCCCTGCCGATCGGTCACATCCGCCATGTGCTCCTTGTCATGATCGGGAAATAAAGGAAAAATCCGTTGTCAATTCAGTGTTTAAATAATATACTAACTACCGGTATTAGAATTAAAAACGTAATTCAGCATTGACTCAGTGATAAATTGTGTTTGCTGACAAGGTCATTGTATAGATTATAGAACTTACGAAATGATGACTTTAAACAACAGCTGCAATTCTTGGTTTCATAAAAAGTTTCATAAAAATTGAATTACAGTAAGTTTTATTTGCTGACAAGATCATGGTATCGATCTTTATCGATTGTTAGCATATTTAAAAGAAAAAAGGATTTCTTACTTGTTTTATATAAATTTTAAGCTTGACAAAAAAGGTTTAAGGAGTTTAGTAGATAAGGTAAATCAAACTGTACAGAAACTCATGGGGAAATGTTGAGAAAATGAAAACTCATATTTTTCATCATGTCCGTGACGTCGAAGATTTTGCTGCTCCGTGACTTAATGATATGTCCTGATAAATCACCCAAACTTAATACCAATTTACAACATTTAGATATTAAATTTTGAAGACCATATAAGTAAAGATTCTTCTATATCATGTGTTACGTTTTGTCCGATTATGTCGTCAAATATTTTTTCTGTGCAACAAGTCCGCGTCATTTTTGAACGTCCCTCGTATAATATATTTATATTTAACCATTCGTTGAAAATGCTTAGAGATAGTGAAAAATTTTGATTACATTTAAATACATGTACATGTATTTTATTTTATGTTCCGAAGTTCATTCTACATACATGAGGTTTGTGCGTAGATACATGTTTGCTTAATGTTTTATATTATTTTTTGTTTTTATAAAAAAAAAATCTAACAAACATGCGTACATGTGCAACATTTATTTATAATTGCTTAAATTAACAAGAACTGATAATTTTACAAATTTCGATTAAAAGAAACAGATAGTAGCTGTCCTACCACCAATGTACATCATTTAGTGAGATAAGTAAATTATACTAAAATATTGCTTATACTGTTTTATTTATAATCATTATAAAACTGATTATTTAATAATGTTTCATAATACATTAGTTTAATTTTAGTTCTTGTGTCTGATCATCATCACAGTCTGTTTTGATGAATTACTTCTTTTCCAGTGATACCATCTCGTGTAATGACTACCAGAATCACCAGTCTATCCGTATAGTCCGTCTGGGTTAGAGTGGTGACAGGACTTGTACTTCCAGGCTCCGTGATATTCTGTTGCACTGTTACGACTACTATCCCTGTCATTGTCCTGGTGGTGAATTTACTACCGTTGTGATACTTTAAACTGTCACCTAGAATAGAGTATTAATAACCTTAAATTATCCTGATATCAATTAAAGTAGAACAATTATCAAAACTGTACTCGTTATTTTCCTGTCTATTGAACAACTTCTATATGACTTTAAGGTCATACGCAACGTAGTTTGAACTTTTTTGGATTCTTCTCTGGAGTTGAAGAGTTCCACTAAATAAAGGACATGTTTGCAATATTTTTAATGTGTATTTATTGATTTGTACACCTCTTCTAATAGTAATTATTGCAAATAATTTCATTTATGTGACATGTTCTTGTTTTATTATGTTATTATATAACAGTGTCTGTATTGTACATAGCTTTATACTAAGCAGCGATTCTGTTCCTTTATTGAACTAATTTTACCCCTTTTCCTACATCTAAATATGGGTTTAACCAATCTCTTATCCATCACGTGATCATTATTGATCCGTTTACCAAAAGAGAAAGCATGGTTTATTGAACTGCTGAATTTTTCGAACCCACCATCCACCCCATCTGCCACCAATGCTTGTTATTTCTTTCAGGTTGACATTTTTGTTGTTATGTTTTACCCATCTTTTTTGATAGTGTTTGAATGGGTTTTAAAGAGATTTATAGCACTTATTTGTACCTCACGTTCTAACTGAACAAGTAAACTTTTTGTACATTGTAATAAATGGCAAATCCATGTATTAGGTTACTGAGAATGAGTCCGACATTTATTTTGTGTACTTCGCAATTTTGCTTCGGTCTGCAGGTTTCCATATGATTTTTCAATATAAAGCAGTGTTGCTTTTTATATATGGTTTTTCCTCGGCGGTGAGAGAAACATAGTTGTGTTCAATTTCATGCCTGCGCGATCGTATTGTTATTGGCTGTTTGTTATTTTGTTTTCCCACCTTTTTTGATGACAGGCAGCAGTTTAGAGCATTTTGTATATGTCTTCCAAACTTATGATGTTTATAAGGGGGTCAACTTAAAATGCATGTATATTGTACCTTGTGAAAGATTACAGGATTTGAATTATTATTTCTAGTCTGGTTGACCCCCCTTTTGCCTATGTACATCATGTTACAATGTCATTTTGGTGCTGGGGGTCAGATTGTGTAATATTTTGACTAAGATGTGTAATACTCTATCTTTGAGTTCTCCTTTTTCTGACCCCCATTTTGTTAACTGTGTTTTACTTTTCCGTCATTTACTTTAATAAATGACATATTTCACTTCAGCATGATGTTATTTTTTTTTTGCCTGTTTATCAAAAAACAAGCTCAGTCGTTTGGGAGGAGAACTAAGGAACATAAAAAACAATTTTTGATGAAAAAAAATCTGAAATTCATGTTTTATAATTTTTGTACATTTATATTTGAATAATGCAAAAATTTTCAAAATTCGATGCTCTACGTAATTTCAGTGCAACCGAACGCTGTGTTGTGTGATATCATTTTCCGCCGACGCGCTTTCGCGTCAATATCACAAAAGGAGGAATATCACGTGACGTCCTTTCAGTCAATGAAAATTATGAAAATAATCTCATATAATATTACACTTTAAGTACCAGGTTAACATATTGTTAAATTTGTTTTCATCTGTAAACCTTTACTAAGTATGTCTTTTCTAAATTTGTAAATTTGATGAAATATTACTAATATTTTCCAAGTCGATTTCAATTTCCAGTTTTTAGGAGAAAAATTCTAAGAGTTATCCATTTTCTAAACTTGTGAGATGATATTAAGTCTCCAAAAAAAATGTTTGTATCATCTATCCTTAAAGGACCAGAAAACATTTCCATTTGATCCAAACAATAATTTCTTAAGCATTCCGTGAAAACGAATAAGGGATCAACTCTAATGTACCACCTGTTTCAACGTAGTCGCCATTTTTTCAACAGGCCAGGGGCCCGTTTCACAAAACTATCTTATGACTAAGATCTGTCTTAAGACCGAAAATTATCGTAAGATTGCACCATAGCCGTTTCACGAAACTGTCATATCTTATGATAATCTTAAGATCTATCATAATCTTAAGACGACTAGATACATGTCTTAAGTCTAAAGCGAAACTTGCGATATGTATTGCGACTATGTGTTTTGGATAAAACTAAAGGATATTTAAAGAAAACAGCCAGTCAGAACAATGACACCCCCCCTATAAAAAATGCAGAGAAACATACGATAGAAAAACTAAAATGTACGTACTTTGTGTTTTCCTATTTATGCATTTCAAGACAATTTTTTTTTCTTTGGTTGTACCCCATCCCGTCCGAAATTGCACCCCCAAAAACCCCAAATGCTTCTTGGATCATGTGCATTTTAATGGCCGGATTTGATTAGTCCATGAATTTTACTTTAATTTATTTTGTTACAGTGTGGCGGACAATATATTTGGTTATTGTATTTAGCTTACTGTGGTGATTTAATTTCAACGTAAACATTTTATTCAGTCGTACAAAATTAGATGACAATAAAATAGTTTAATTTCTGAGGTATCATCATTAATCTACAGGAATGTGTATGACAATTCAATATGCTGTAATATTTGATGCTGTATGTAATGCTTTCTTTATGCCTTTTTGAAATAGTATTGAAACCGTAAAATTGAATGGAATTTTTTCTTTCGTTTCTCTTCTTCATCTGTTAGCAGTAGTTGAAGTGTTTCAAAGACACCTGCATCCAATTAATATTATTAACAAACTTTGAACACGATTTGGTGTCTCAATCGGAGTCATTGTTAAAATCGTACTTATTTGCAAAGTTTCAGATACACTAGTAGTTTAAATTAAAAGTAATCACACTTAATTAAAGTTGATGCTATAAAATGTTCTAAACTATATGAGACACACATTATTTCAATATTTCAAAGAAAATTAATGAAAGACTTTGTAAAGACATATTTTTAAAAAATCCCTGTCAAATTGACGAATGGAATTTGTCTTAAAACTTGTCTTAAGATTTCTTATACTTAAGATATTTTGTGAAACGGCAATGACAAATCTTATGATTGTCACAAGTCAGATCTTAAGATGATCGTAAGATCTATCTTAGGACAAATCTTACGATAGTTTTGTGAAACGCGGCCCAGATTTCAAGCCGATGTATATAGAACGTTATAAAATTTATACAAATTAAAGCATATAAACTAAACCTATGAAAAAAGGTAGTTGATAATATATTATGAAGAATTTTTATTTCTTTTCCCGAATTTCTAAGTGGTAAATACTTTTTCGTAAGATATTTTTTATCTATCAATTTTTTATTACATTTTTTCGGTATGATTCCGCTTTGTTACAACTACAATGAATATTTTATTTAAATAGGGTTAATCTGTGTATTTACTCATAGATTTTTTTTGTTTTAACCTATGTAAATGTTTCATTAGTTTTATCACCGGGTTTCTAAAATAATATGTTTGTGTACGGAATTTTGGGACAAACCTTCTATGAAACTGATGTTGTAAAAATTATAGCTTCTTTAATTTCAAGTTCACTGTCATACATCGAGCTATACTCCTACATGTACAAGTAAGACCCTCGGTTAACGTACCTTCGCTTCTTATATACCACGCTAATTCATATTATCTCGCCGTGAACCTTTAGCATGCTGGAGTGAGTGATCAAGTATAGAAATTCATGCTCATCCCTGTCTTTCTTGTAAAAAAAATATGGTATAAAAAAGCACTTGTTAATCACTTTTGACCTTAAATATAATTAGGTATGTACGAAAATTTACAAATAGACCTACCTGCAGTTCCTGAGAACCCAGACACAGTGAGTTTGTATTTAGTGTCCTCGTCCGCGATATAAAACGTGGAGTGCTGAGCGTATGCTTCGTCTCCATTAAAACTATGTAGGTCAACCCGGAGTTCCTGGTCCTTGTTCTTCGTCAACTTAGATTGCGTCATTTCCTTTAGAAATATGAAAAGAAATATCTTAAATTCCAAATCCTTGAATTACGACATTACATTTAGATAGGGACCTTATAATGTAAATACTTATTAATGAAGTATGTTGTAGAGGGATCCCTAGATTCTTGTTTATATTTTGAAACTGTCGCCCGCGTGGCGCAGTGGTTAGAGCGTCTGCTCTAGAGTCGCAAAGTAAGGAGTCAATCCTTACGTCGCGGGTTCGAATCCCACTGTGGGACGTAGAAGACCGGTCCTTCGGATGAGACCGTATAAACCGAGATCCCGTGTCGCAGTAGGTGTTGGCACGAAAAAGATCCCTACCTGCTCAATGGCCATGAGTGCCGAGCATAGGACAAAATTTGCAGCTCTTCACCGGCAAGTGGTGGCGTCTCCATATGAGTGAAAAATTCTTGAGAGGGACGTTAAACAATATACAATCAATCAATCAATATTTTGAAACTACATTTACTTATGCAGTAATATACCTTCATTGCCTGCATACGGAGTGTTTCTATCTCAGTTGATTCGATATGCAACAGCGTGCTCTAAGTATGAACAGTTTCTAAAACGAGGTAAATTATTGACAAGCAATTGATGAAACAAGAATATCAGCAGTCATGTTTAAAGTCATCATTTCGTAAGTTCTATGGTAGATACAATGACACAGTAAGTTTGTATTTAGTGTTCTTGTCACCGACATAAAAAGTGGAGTACTGAGGGTATGCTGTATAACCATTAAATCTTTGTAGCTCAACCCGGAGTTCCTGGTCCTTGTTTTTTTTTCAGCTCATAGATTGCATCATTTCCTTTAGATTTTTTTTTTTTTTAAATATCTTAACATTCCAAATCCCTGAAACTACATTTATATAGGCACCTTATAATGTAAAAACTTATCAATAAAGTAGTTTGTAGAGGAATCCCCAGATTCTTGTTTATATTCTGACACTACATTTAAATAGACAACTTATTATACTAATGTTACATAAACTAAACTTACCGATCCAGTGGTTTTTAGATGGATCCCCAAATCCTTTTGTATATTCTGACCACGTCTTGAAAAAATCTGTAGACCCGTCCTGTCTTCTTTGAGACTTTAAAACTTTAATAGATTAAATGATTTATAATTCGATTTAATTTTTATAAAATGTAAGTAATTTAAGACTTTTATGTTCCCATTCAAAAGATTTTGAAGAACAAACATCAATTCGTAAAGAAAAATATTTAAGATCAATAAGTAATTTTATTTTCTTAGAACACGGAGTAGACTTCTCTCTCACTTTATAACAAGCTTAAGTTGTACTCACCGTCTACCCTCCTCCATCTGTACTCATGTCATAGTAAACAGTCCTTACTACTTAGGCTAACACTCACCGTCCACCCTCCTCCGTCTGTACTCATGTCACAGTAAACAGAACTTACTACTGAGTTTCACACTCAACGTCCACCCTCCTCCATCAGTACTCATGTCGTAGTAAACAGACCTTACTACTGAGGCTTTCACTCACAGTCCACCCTCCTCCATCTGTATTCATGTCACAGTAAACAGACCTTACTACTGAGGCTCACACTCGCCATTCTCCGTCCTCCATCATTACTAATATCACAGTAAACAAACCTTACTATTGAGGCTAACACTCACCGTCCACCCTCCTTCGTCTGTTCTCATGTCACAGTAAACAGGACTTACTACTGAGTCTCAAATTCACTGTCCACCCTCCTCCGTCAGATCTCATGTCAGAGTAAACAGACGTCCAATCTCCTCCATCTGTACTCATGTCACAGAAAACAGACCTCATTACTAAGACTCACACTCAACGTCAACCCTCCTCCATCTGTACTCATGTCACAATAAAGAGACCTTACTACTGAGTCTCATACTCACCGTCCACCCTGCCCGATCAGTACTCATGTCACAGTAAAGAAACCTTACTTCTAAGTTTTAAACTCAGCGTCCACCCACCTTTATCTATTTTCATGTCACAGTAAACAGATATTACTACTGAGGACCACGTTCACCCTCCACTCTCCTCCGTCTGTAATTATGTCACAATAAACAGACCTTACTACTGAGGCTCATACTCACAGTCCACTCTCCTCCATCAGTACTCATGTCACAGTAAACAGGCCTTACTACTGAGTCTCAAACTCACCGTCCACCCTCCTCCGTCAGTACTCATGTCACAGTATACAGATTTGACCATAGAGTTTACTGTTATTATGTATACTCCATCTCTTCCCATTAAAGACGGGTATTTCCGTAAAATTTCCCAGCAACTATGATCATTAATTGAAAGCACTGAAAAAAAATTGATTTATTGGATGTGATTTATTGTTTTATTCATTTATTTATTTTTACAATTTAAAATCCATTAACTAAGCATTATATAATCGATTAGTTGATTTTATGTTGTTTTATATCCCATATGAGAATTTTTCACTTATATACAGACGTCACCACATACATCGGTAATTTGCTTCTAATTTATATGGTTCATATCAGCCCTAGTGATCCTTTTTGTTTTAGGGGTTCACATGAGAGTTGAAATTCCCAAAAAGTTATCTACCATGTTTTGTAATAAAACATAAAATACTTTTATAGGTAAATACCCTATAGCAAACAGTTATCAACATTGCAATTTTAGTTGTTTAGCTATTTAGCTAGTTTAGTTGTTGTTTAATTATTTAGTTGTTTACCTGAACTTATCGATGTCGAAATATAAACAGAAAGAACCTTGAAAGTAAAATACAGTGCCTGATATAAAAAAAACTCCACAAAAATACAAATATATGAACATGGAACCATGGAAATTCTAAAGCTGGATTTAGTGCCTAGGATGAGTAAGCATCATCTCCTCTTGACCAAAAAAAATCCGCAAGGAGTCCGAAATATTGGTCAGGAATTAGTTATGTTACCATCGACATTAATGAGTTATGGGGAATATATGCTTAAATACTTATTTTCCTGGGGTCAACCTTCGTGCTTTGTGGGCAAAAATATTGATTAATTGTGATTTTAAATTACGAGTTTGGTATATTTTGTACAACATATACGTGATTCAGTCTTTCGTAATTTTGACATATCTTAGGGAGGATATGAATCCCTAAAAAAACAAAAACAACAAAATTAAACAATCATTTGAAAATTTTTGATTTCACAGTATTTGATCATCTAATAGGAATTTAAATACGTGAAAAATGTTAAGATATCCGAATTTTTATTTTAATCTGTATCGATTATAAAAAGATTTTGAATAATTATACAATGTATCATATCTTATACCGGTATTTCCATAAAAGATGATAAATCTTAATTTTTTAAAAATAATTTCTCTCCGAAAACCAGCTACAAACTTTATCTTATGAACTAATTCTAAACCTAAATAGAATTTACAGTTATACTTTACCTTTTGATAAAGTCCAGTTCGATTCATTCAGATCCTCACGAACATTGTTCAACGTTTCATTTACAGACACTGCGAAACTCTCGAACTTGTCCTCCATCTTGTTAATTTGTCTTACAAGAAGTTCTACGCCGCTGATCAGTAATGTCGCATTCATTTCAGTCACTTGGTCTTTAAGAACCTCAATTCCTTGGTAAAGTCTTCCATCATTGTTTTCCAGAACCAAACTTTTATTTCGAATGTCTTGATCAAGTTCTTTATTTTTTTGGAGATTCTTGTTTGCTTCCATTATATGCGATTTATTCAAAGTGTCTATTAATTCCAATGTGCTCTGGTCCGACGACTTCAATGTCTCTATATCTTTTCGAACACCTCTTTCCATTTGTTTTATAGTCTTATTTAACAAATCAAGCTATTTTTCAAATGCTGAATTTTTCAAGGCTAGTTTAAGATTTTCATAGTGGAGAGCTGAAGTCTTACTTTGCATTTTCTGATCAAGATTTTGAATTTCGTCCTTTGTCAAGTTCCTATTGTAATTCACTGTCCCATACACCACCTTTAATTCCTCTTTAAGTTTGTTGCTTTCTTCCTCCATATGTTGACTTTTGTCTCCAAACCCTTCAGGTCCTTTGTCACCACACTGAGCTTTGCCTTGATATCCTGTCTATTGTTTTTGCTGTCTATCGCATCCATCACTAAATTTTGTATTTTTTTGTACCATGGAGAAGCGGACCAGACTTTCCTGGTTCAAAATGTCACGTAGGACGCTGGACGCTCTACCTGACACAGTACTGGGTAACAAATAAGATTTGTCAGATGCTTTTTCAGGTAATGGTAACTAACAAAAGGTTTTGTACACAGAGATCGATAGCAATAAGCAAAATACTTTTAAAGATCCCATTTTAGCGGAAATTTCTGATGAGTAAGAAACCGTTTATATAGTGCAAGACTAGGTGTTGATTATCTAAGCAATACATGTAGCACTCAGAAAAATAAGTGGTTATCACTGAATAGTTGAGAACTTTTATATTAATTTGTTATAAACAAATTGAAATAATACATTATCAAAGGTATATCACACCCACATGAGTGTTTCCTTGTGTTTATTGTTTTGGCAGAGACATTTTAAAATACTTTTTAGATATACTTTCAATCTTTTTGAAAACTTTGCTATTTATATTCCATATCTAATCACTAATTCCTATGTTTCTCCTGAGTCGTTAATCCAAAAGCTGTCGTATGTATCATGAAATGTTAAGTGGTAATTGAAGTATCTCTTGGAAGATGTAACATCGGTAATTGAAAAAAGTTGTAGGAAATAAAGTTGCCTTATTTTATATATCGTGAATTCTCTCTCTCTCTCTCTCTCTCTCAGTAAAACCTATGTAGGTGCAAATAACACTAGAGCAACATAAATATGTACGCGATTTCTAAGTAAGTTTCGTTTCAATATAAACCAGTTTGTCTTTCCAATTAAGTTAAGATAGTGGCAAAGGACTAAAGTACTGAAACAAGCTTGTAGCGACAAATTCAAAAGTGGAAGAAGGGCAACCCCCCCCCCCCCCCAAAAAAAAAATGACAGCCAAAGAACCTAAA